GCCACAGTTCCTCACGTGTCAGGGCTGGAATGGGAACAGATCCCTTCAGACCAATCCCAGCACCCAGCAGGTCCCAGCTCAGGTCCAGGGATATTGCTATGTTCAGAAAACGGCAACACCTCATCTGGGAACGGGGCAGCCTGTATTTCTGGCAGGTCTCCAGATTAAAAAGTAATCAGTCACAGGACTGAGTTGAAGACCCAGCCCCACAGGGCATGGCAGCCTCTCCTGAGTGAGGGGCCTGTCCGCTGGCCCCTCCTCTATTGTTTCCATACCCCTGTCTCCAAGTCTTGTTTCTGTTTCCTGGGGACCTTCTGTTCTCCCATTGCATCATCCATGTCCGCCAGCAGAGTCTGAGACTCCATCAAAGTGCAGAAGACAAGACCTCTGGGAGGGAAGTGGCCTGGCGCACACAGATTATGTTCCCTTATGTGTCTCAGACCCCAAAGGGGGAGGTTGAGCATTACTGGCAAACTGTGATCGTGACAAATGCCAAGAAGGAAAGAAGGGAAACACGGGGCTATGAGAGGGGGGTAACAAGATGCCTTTATGTAGATCCTGTGACTGGCTTGAGGACATCGAAGGGAGTGTGGTATGAGATGTGGTTAGCTAGGTCACAGGCCTGAGCACATGAGACTTTAAGCCATGGAAGGGGCTTGAATTCTGTTTCAAGTGCAGTGAGAAGCCACTTGGGAATTCTAAGCTTAAAACTTTAAAAATAATAATAATAATAATAATAAAATAATTCTGCCTGAGGGTGTGGCTCAATTGGTAAGAGCACCTGCCTAGAAGCGAAAGGCCCTGAGTTCCAACCCTAGTACTGCCAAAAAAAAAAAAGCAATTAAAAGCTGAAAATGGCCAAGAGTGGTCGCAAGCACTTGTCCCAGTTACTATGGAAACTGAGGCAGGAGCACCACTTGAGCCTAGGAGCTCAAAGCCAGCCTGAGCAACATAGCAAAACTGTCTAAAAAAGAAAAAGAGAGAGAGAGAGGGGGAATATATCAAAAAGCTCCAGCAAATCTGGAATTGTCATATTGTTATTGTAAGTTTGTTTTTTGGGGTTTTTTTTTTTTTAACCACTGCCCAGACTGGGAAACCCAACTAAACCAGGCAATCTTCCCCAAATCCCATATCCGTGCACAATGGGAAGGAGTAAATCTCTGTCAACCAAGACATACAGTTTCAGAGATATGGCGCTAGCAAACCTGGAGATAAAAATCAAGGCTAACATGTGGCATGGGGACATGTACTCTGTCACAGACCCTGAATCAGTGATCCCAAGCGTCCCCTTTAAAAACGGGGGGAGTAGGAGAACTTTGAGATCAACCTCACCATCCTCCTCTTTGCCTGGCAAATAAACCTTATATCCTTTTCCTCAAAAACTGCTCTGGTTATCTGTGAATTTACATTACGAGGCCAAGGCACTGAACTTTCAGTAACATCTTCATGCTGCTCATGGCAGAATGGTTGCCACAGATGTCCCCACCCTAACTCTGGAACCCATGAATACGTTGTTCCAGACAGGGAGAATGAAGGTTGCAGGTGGAATGCAGGCCGATAATCCTTGCCCTTGAGATGAGAGATTATTCTGGGTCATTGGGTGGGTTCAATGTAATTACAAAAACCCGTAAAGAAAGAGGGAAGTGGGAGTGTTGGAACGAGAGAGATGGTGTCTTGAGAAGGACCTGCCTGACTCTTGCTGACTTGGAGGATGAAGGGGCCCCTGAGCCAAGGGATGCGGGCAGCCTGGGGAACTGCAAAAGGCAAAAGATGGTTTTTCACTGGAGCCTCCAGAAAGAGCTTGAACCTGCTGCCTTGTGATTATAGCCCGTTTTGGACTTCTGACCTCCATCAGGTGACATACATCTGTGTTGTTTTAAGCCACCAAGTTTAGGGGAATTTGTTCTGGCAGCCCCAGGAAATGAACCTCCTACAGTTGGTGGATATTTGGGTTGTTCCTAGTTTCTTGCCTTCTTGCTGTGACTTTGTAGTACTGGAACAAACCAGAAGCAGCTAGAAATACAAATAGCTTCAGCTCTGCCAGGCAGTGAGTGCTATGTACTTTTCAAAATCCAGTGAGGGTGATGGACTTGGAAGGTGACAAGACCGTAAGAGGTCAGCTCAGCCATCCAAGCACTGAACAAAAGTGGTGGCAGCAGATGTGGAAAGAAGGGGCAGGGTGGGAGAAGGATTTCATAGGGCAAGTCCATAGGATGGCCTGAAGGTGTGGCTGGATTGGGGGAGGAATGGGGAGGCCTCCCAGAGGCAGAAATAGGTGAGTCAGAGATGTGATGGCCTCAGACTCCTCTGGGGCAGACCTTCCCAGGCTGCCCAGGCCATGGTGCTCCTGGTCACTCCTTGTCCTTTGGCCCCAAGTCCACTGGAGAGAAAGACAAACACAGGCTTCCAGAGACAAGAAAATGCAGGCAACAGTTTAACAGTTAACCTTTAACTGATTTCACTGAACTAAGCCTTCACTCATTTCCAAAGCTGGCCTTGGAAGACGAGGTTTTGGCCCTACAGTGATCATATCCCCCACCCTGCTGTTTGGATGCCACCCTTGGAAGGCTCTACATCTGCCTTGGAAGGAGAGAAGGCTTTGAGTGCAAACAGGGAGAATGTCTACACTCTAGCGATGAGTGAGCGAGCTAAGAGAAACATGTGTGGGAGTATCATTTTATTAAACCGGGAAATTACTTTCCTACAGGTATAGCAGTTTTATGCACCCAACACTGTGTTGAGTGACCTATGACAGGTACTGGCACCTTCAGTGCCTTGTCATCATTATCACTTCCTCTGCCAGGGAAGGCACTTCACTGGCTCTCAAAACTGTCACTCCCTCCCTTTACCTGAGGAGGAGGCAGGAGCCCTGGGCCCCGTCCCTCCTCTGTGAGGGGCTGTGGAATTAGCGGCCATCTGAGCCATCATCAAGGTCCAGTCCAAGGTCAGCTGGCAAAGAGGACACCTAGGCCTCACAGGAGTTAAGTCACTCCTTGGGAAGGGGGTGTGGACAGGTTTTTTGGAGGGGGGAGAGCTTTTATTTTTTGTCATACCCTTCTCTATTATTTAAATTTTATACAGGATCAATATGTATTACTTTTGTAAGAAAGAGGTCTGGAGGTGTGGCTCAGTAGCCAAGTGCTCATTTAACACAAGGTCCTGGGTTCAATCTCCACACCCAACACACACACACACACACACACGCACACACACACAAATAACCAGAAAGAAAGAACCTTAATAATGTCAGAACACGCATACGATGAAAAGGCTAAATATGATCTAGGAAAAAATCCGAGTAAATATGACAAATGGCACATGAAGGCTGTGACAAATCCCTACTACCCTGTAGGAGAGAGTTCAGAAGTAGATCGTTAGAGACAAGTCAATACCCAGAGCCGAGCTGATCTCATGAGACAGCGAAGTTCTGCAGCAGCAGTGTCATTTCTCCCCTCAAGATTAAGACTTTTTA